CTCTCTCTCTCTCTCTCTCTCTCTCTCTCTCTCTCTCTCTCTCTCTCTCTCTCTCTCTCTCTCTATTCAACCCACCTAACACCACGAAGACTTTCACGGAGTCCACGATTCGACAGGACAACCGTTATGCAGCACACACAGTAGAATTATCAAGCTGTCTTTTTTTTCGCGGACCCCCCCTTACGTGGCACTGCTTTCCTCTTCTTCGCCCCTGCTCTGCTGCCATCCCTTTCCGCCTGTCTGGCGTCCATCCGTTCCTGTCTCTCCTCAGCTCTCGCCTTCTCATCCAACATACCTTGATATTTCTCAACCCAGCGAGGCTTCAACAACCTATCCACCAATCTCATGTCCCTGATCTGGATCGTCACCCTCTTCGAATGGATGGTCACCTCGTTGGTGTTCTCGAAATTGGCGACCAAGTACGCCTCGGCAGCCTCCATCAAAGCACGCACTGCCGTCATCTGAAACCTCATGCCCATACCCGGAGCAATGTCCCGCTCCACAACCTCACGCACGAGACCCAAGAACGGCCTGAAAGTCAAGCAAAGGTCGGTGGATCGTGGCAACTTTCTGATTTCCGACAAAGTTGCCATCCCGGGGCGTCGACGGCGTCTGGGGATTTGAGTTCGTGCACCTTCGGTGTCTCCGGTCCCTGGCACTTCCTTCGGGTTCACCTTCTTTCTGCCTGCGGGCGTCTGCCCACGTGGCGGTCCCGACGTGCACTTCTTCTTCTTCCCCGGGCTCTGCGACATCGCGACATCGCTCGGCCCGCCCATGTCACCCTGTGCTGCAGAGCACCCCCCGACACGACCAGGACCACATGGGCCCTCCACCTCAGCAGACAAACAAGAAATTTATGAGCGCTTCTCTGTCCTCTTGCCTGCCTGTGCTGAACCTGGCAAGCCATCCTCCGGCATATACCGAATGTCTTGCAGGAGTCCATCTGAGTAGGTCAGATGGAAAGGCACACCAAGCGGGTCTCTGAATCTCATGGTGACGTCTCCACCATGCTTATATGTCATGGGACATACGACCGAGACCCAACCAACAGCGGTCGTGCAACCGTGCCTGCGGCGAATGCGAGCCATGTATCTGTTCTGACCGTCACCGTGCTCTTGGGCCGTGCAACTCCCCTCAACCATGGACCACATCCCCTGGTCAGCCATGGAGTCATAACCCGCGCACACCATCTGACGCTCCTCCTCCCTTATCTTTTCCCAGCACCGCTTTGCGTGTTCAATCACCAGGACGTGGTCCTTTACATTCACATTGAAAATTGAGACAAGTGTCAGAACCACGAGGAACTGCCAATGCTCCACAATGCCTGCATGCATCCATCCCAATGGGAGCCAATGCCCTAATTGTAGTCTTGCTGCCATCGTCACCTTGCCATCCACCACTGCAGGATGCAAACATCCTGGGACCCAATTGACATGATACCCATACTTTTCAGGGGCCATATGTTGCTGCAACTGTCCTTCAGGGATTACACGGGCCCCAATGTCCATGGCAGACAGAACGTCACTCCTCATTGTGACATGGTCCCATATCTGCGAGCATACTTCATCGTACGTGGCTTCCTGCCCTCTTGCATGCGTGTATGTGCTGTCATCCTCACCAGTAAAAACTTTTCCTTCAACCACCTCCGAGTCCACAGGGTTCCGAAGCGGCGGGAAAAAGCAGCCAGCAGTGTGGGTATTACATGCCATTGCCTTCTTCTCGTCTTCTGAGACCTCCCTGTCGAGGTGCCTGAAGAAGAAGTTGCCATTCACATAATGCGTGCTCCAGACATTTCCCATGGCATCACGCATCATCATCCTCACACGGCCACATGGAATCGGGATCACACATGACACCCAACCCCACCTAGAATCCCTCCTCGCATCGCTCTCGTGGCACGCCGTACTCCCTGTTGGGTCGTTCCCGCCAATCACCCATGCCTTTCTGCAATCAAAACTGTCGTACAAAAAATCATTCAGCCTGAACTCACCCTGCGCCTCCAGAACACGCCACACGTCCATTGCATATCGTGCTTTCACCTCTGTTGTTGCCCCATCGTTCAACCTTAACAGTCTGTCAAACACGATTGCCAGAGTCACGTTTCGCCATGTATTCTTTTTGGGGGCAGGAAATGGAACCCATGTCCCTTCGACTTTGAACGCAAAGCAGGGTGCTCCTCCAACCATACCCGGTTGAACACGACCCCGCACCCAATTGATGTCATATGGGTACTCTTCTCCTGCTGATGTCTTCACCACATTTTCATCTTTCACAATACACCCTGTCAGAGATTCCCTGCTTCCCAGACCTCCCTCCTCTCTCTCTTCCCCGGCCGTTTCCGTCTTACAAGTGCTCCCTCCTGCATCATTCTCTGTTTCATCACTATCACCCATCATCTCTGCAGTCTGTGCACATATTGTCACAAGCACCTCTGCACAGTCTGCGCTGTTCCCTCCTACCGAATTCCCTTCCTTACTACCATCTGCAAAACCCTTCAGAATGCCCTCCGTCTCCATGGCGCATGTCTCTCCACCGTTGACAGTCGATGCAATCGCGGGTTCCATCTATTGCATGAGACACCACATACATTTATGAGAACACGTAGCTGCGACATGGCCCCCTCACCCGAGAGAGAGAGAGAGAGAGAGA